GTGAGGCCGGGCTCGCTCCTGCTCGCGGGGTTAGTGGGTTAGAGCGCCCGCCAGCCCGCCCCCGCCGGCCAAGCGCACTCGGTGCAGATTTTGCACGTGCCGCGCGCGCCCCGTGTTAGACTGGTAGGTAAGGCACGTGCTACCGCCCTCCCAGGGCACTCTGCTGGGACCAGCAACGCGAAGGTTGCCCCCTCTCTCCCATCCAGCGGGTCAACTACGGTAGGAAGGAGTCTGCCTGCCAGCCAATGTCAGGCCCCAGACCCCAGAGGATGGCTCTGGGTGCCAGCTGATAGGTGAGGGGCCCAGGTTTCATGCAGGTTCTGGTGGGAGGATAGTTTGCAGCTTCTCCTCTTCTCAATCACAAATCGAGGAGCCCTCCTCTGAGCTCCTAAGAGAGGAATGGGGAAGGGAGGGAAGAGTGGGGCAGATAACTGCAGTCTGGGGGCTTACTTGAGGCAGGGAGCTGTTTGCAGACATGGTGGGCTGGGGTCTAGGAGTGGGAGCACTGGTCTCTAGGGTTGGGGTGGGGGAGGTAAGAGCTGGGACCAGGGGCTCAGAGGGTTTTAAGTATAGGGGCCTGACCACTGGTCCTCAGGGTATGGGCTGGGGAATGGCCAGGCCAGGCACTCACCGCCACCACCTGGCCCTTGCGGGGGTCGATAATGCGCAGGGTCTTGTCCTTGCAGGTGGTGACTAGGAGGCTACCATTGCTGTTCCAGCACACGCTGTGGATGATGTCCGGGTGCATGTCCTCCAGACTCAGGAGCACCTCTCCAGTGCCCACATTCCAGATGATGATCACGTTGTCACCACCTGCCCAGAATGGACAAGCACTATCACCTGGGCCCTGCCTCTACCACCCCTGCCCCCAGATCTACAGTAAAGACTCCTTCCTAGGCCTCCAGACCTGCACTAAGCAGAACATTCCGGGCAGTGGGGTGCCAGGAGAGGATGCCCACACGCTTGGAGTGGCCTTCAAGTGTGATGATGGGTTCTGTAATGTTGCGCATAGGGGTATAGTCTGGAATTTGCCACACCTGGGTAGGAGGAAAAGGCAGAGGGTGGGTGGGATGAAAAGTCACTTTGTCCCTCTGTTCTTCCCTTAATTCCCCCTGCCCCACCCCTCCAACCCTACTGGCTTTCTTGAGTGGGATCAAACGCAGAACAAGATGTGATGGTGCCTGCCTAGGGCAAAAGAAGCTGGGAGCCAGGAGGGAGCACTGCCAGCTCTTCAGAGATCTCTCTATTCACCACGGCAGGGAGACTTCAGAACACTGCCCCCTGCTCTTCAGGCCCCAAGTTGGCCATGGCTATAATTAGTCCTAAGCAGTGCATCCTGGGAGGGGGTGGGCAGGTAGCTAAAAATAGCCTGGGAGCTGGGCATGGCAGGGCCCTGGGACCCAGCACCTCCCTTACCACCTTCCTAGCACAGGTAAGGCAGCCCTCCCTGCCCACTGCCCAGTGCCCAGCAGCATCCAACTGGCTCCTACCATGACGGTGGTGTCATCTGAGGCACTGGCGATGACATTGTCATTGTGCGGGCACCAGTCGATGTCCAGCACAGGGGCAGTGTGCCCAGTGACCAGTGGGTAGTTCTTATCCACTCGCCCTGTCTGGAGGAGTCAGAGAAGAAGATGTGGGACCACTTTCCTGTGTGTTTTTTGGGGGTGGGCAGGGGACCTGTTTACATCTCAATTCTCTATCATCTATTTTCTCTTTGCGGATCCCTCTCTGAACCTGCAACCCCATCCAGCCTACTTCCTGTACTTCATTGAAGGCAGACAGTTGAAGTCCTTTAATATAGGGGAATCAGATACAGAGAGGTCATATGACTTAATCAAGGACACACAACAAGATACTGGTAGAGTCAAGACTTGAACTTTCAGTTTAGTGCTTTTCCAAAACACCTACTTGGAGGAGGCTGTTCTTGAGCCTGTTCCCCCAGTTGGGATGTCTATGGGAAGCCCTTAGAGGAAGAGGTCAAGGTGAGATAATACATATAGTGCAGTGCCTGACAGCCCTTTCCTAGCCACCTTTGGCAGATCTCATTGGCTTTACCTTGCAACCACAAGCAGCGGGCACTCTTGATACTTGCTATCCCCCAACCTGAGCTGGGGCCCATCTATTTTGGTCTTTACAGGCTGTTTGTGGGGGGCTCTGAGGACTTTGCAGGGGCTGGCACTGGCCTAGACCAGGCAATAGGGGAGAGGGGTGGCTGTGTGGCATTAGAATGACAGTTGTACCAGGGGAGGAGGCAGCTTCAGCTGAAATTTGAGCCCTGGGGATGGTGTCCTTGGATGGTGTCTGCATTGTCCTGGAGTGAGTCACTGGCTATTGTCAGGCCTCTTTCTGACCCTGCCACCTGTGGGGCCTCCCCTAATAAGGTGTAGGTGCAGAATCCAGGTCAAGGTCATGCCTTGGGATGGCCATCCTTGTGGGTGGAGATGGCTGAGGGGCTTGAGACTACTCAGCAAAGGTGGTGGTCATGGCCTGGCTCCCATCCCTGGGGTAGGGAGGGCTCTGGCCTTATGTATTGTATCCCCCTGTCCTTAGCTCTCATTCTACCTCACTGCAAGAACCAGAGTGGGGAGGTGACCAGGGACTCTGGATAGAGCCTGACCCTGTCCTCAGTGTGCTGCTCTGGAGTATGATTTAATTAAACAGTCACCCTGGGCTGGGGAAAAAGATCCCCATACCCAAAACATGAGGGGGTGTGGCATTAGGAGAGATAGGAAGAGAATCTGGCCAGGCCCTGGCTCCACTGCTTCCCAGCTATCTCCAGCACCTCCTCCTGGTCCCTGCTGGGAAAGGGTGCTGGGCTGTGAGTGGGTGCAGGCCACTGTGATGTTGCTGCTCTGGGAAGGGTGAGGGAGCCTCCCAACATGTCCCTGAAGGCTTGGGGAACAGCCAACCCATACAAACTGCCCTTCTGATTGAGTAAGGGAACTAGGTGAGAACAGAGGCTGCTGTCAGGAGTCTCCAGGGGCCAGCCACAGCAAGTGTCCTCCCACCTGCTTCCTTCCCCTCATCCCTCACCTTGGCCAGAGGCAGGACGATGAAAGCACCTCCGCCTCCAGCCTCCACAATAATGGCCAGGAATTTGGGGTTGACGGCACAGAAGGAGCTGTCCCATGTGACCTTGGACACACGGATGTCCTCGTAGGCCTGATCAGCCTTTGCCACCTGCCCAAACACATGGCGGAACTTGCTCTGCCGAACCACGCGCCGGCTCATGGCTGGGGGCAGAGATGGAGGATCTCAGTGCCCAGAAATGCCTTTGGTCCTTAGTCCTGTGAGCTGTGGGAGGGAGGAAGAGTATGTGGGCGGGATGGCAAGTGAGAAGGGTATCTGGCCAGGAGTTGGGTATAAGTTAATAAAGAGTCTGGTCCTAGAAGCAGGGAGCTTTCTTCAAGGTGATTAAGGTATGGGAAAGTTCTTTGCCACCTATAAAGTGCTACTTAATGCAAGGAGCTAGAATTTGGGGCCTGACTTCCCCTTAGAGACACAGACTGGGGGGGTGGTGTGCAATGGAAACCAACTGGACTCGAAAGCTTCCTGGACGTTGAAGTGGTTTGGGGAGGAGCCTCAATGCCAGGCTGCCCTCCCACTGCCAGCCTTGGATGAGCATCTTTTTCACAGAAGTAGTTTATCTCTCAGATATCAGAGGCCTGGGCCCTGGGGTCTTGGCCCAAGACCAGCTATGGGGCTAGGACAGCAGCCCTCCAAGATCGTAAACTCTGCATCTCTGGCATAGTTCAGGTAGATGGGTCTTTGCCTTTTTCTAAAAATTTGCCAAGGAGAAATTCCTTCTGTCAGCTAACTTGAGTTCTTCCTGCTGTTTTCATCGATTTCCTCTCATGTTATTGTGGGGATATAGGGTAAGGTGGATCTCTCCTCCTTCCACTCCCTTCTGCACTAACTTCTCCAAAAGGCCCTAACCATGGTCTTCTGACTTTTGACCACCGTACTTTAGATCTCGCTACTCCTCTGGGACCTGTCTCCTACTAACACTCCTGGGGGTGGGGTTCTTCACCCCTGGGGCCAGATTTGCTGGAGTGGGGAGAGTGAGGTGCCTTTTCTCCAGCCAGGGCCTGCCCTACCTCTTCCCCAGGGGCACTGCAGAGCTCTTCCTAAGCCCAGCCACTAACTCCTGCCCCTCCCCAGCCCCGGGCATCCCTGTGCCCTTCAGGACGCTTCTGCAGCCCCAGGCTTGAGGCCTGGCCTTCCCACACCCTCCTCCGGCCTCCTGCCCCGGCACTGCGTTCTTGTGAGACGAGGTGTCTGCGAGGGCCGACGTCCATCCAAATATAAACACCAAGTCTGCCCCGCCCGGGACCGAATTTGGCGGCCGGGGGGAGGGGGCGCGGACCTGTGCCCCCTCCAGCGACACCCCGCCCGTTCCGCTGTCTGCGGTGGCGGCGTGGTGGGGGGTACCTGGTCCTGAGCTGGCCGAGAGGCGCTCACGCTGCGATTCCTCTGCGGAGGGGGCTGGGGGCGCGCTGGGGCTGAGAGGGGCGTCAGGGCGCCGGAACCGCCTCTCCGGGTGTCCGCGGCGTCTGGGGCCCGGGTGTTCGGCTGCGAGCTCCGGCCGCTACTCGGGGCTCTCGGGGCTGGGCGCCGCTGCAGTCCCAGCTGCTGCTGCCATCAACCTGCGGAGGCGGGGCCCAGCCAGGGGGCGGAGCCAGAGTTGCTCCGCTCCCTCCAGCGGCGGGAAAGTTGAGCGCTGCGGGATTTGCACGGCCGAAAAGCGTCAAAAGTAATTGTGCGTGTGTGCGCTTCTTTCTCGCCCTCGATGCCACGCGGGTGGCCTGGAGAGGTCCAGGTTCCCAGACCCAGAGCTGGGCGCTAAGAGAGGGGGGCCGATGAGGGGGCGTGCTCCTCTTAGAGCCGGCAGCAGCGCAAGATCAGGTGCT